CTTGAGGAAAGCTCTAAGCATCATCGAAGACCCGACGCACCCCAGCTACAGACTGTATGACCCTCTACCATCTGGAAAATGGTACTAGAGCATTCCAGACTCAGAGACAGTTTTTACCCCCGCACTATCAAACTATTAAACTCCCAGCCTCTCTCACTCTCACCTCACCTCTCACCTATGATCTGAACCTCACAGTGCCTTCTTTCGTACCAAAAACTCAAACACATTGAAATCTACCTCTGCCTTACATGTCAAAAGCTCCCTCCCCAAAAGTTCTATCCTTTTATTTCATTCTGTTGATGCATGTTTTTGCACATTGTTACCTTTTGTTGTTTTGTCTTTAATTATACAATTGTATTGTTGTTTTTTTGTACTACGTATCGTCTGAGAGCTAGCTAAATAGCATTTCGTTATACCATATACCTGTATATGAGTATAATGACAATAAACTTGAACTTGAACTTCACTGTCAATCATTAAAACCATCACAGAAGTGAAGAATCATAGTGAAGGAGAACAGCATGAATAGGCAAAGGAGAGAAGAGGGGAAAAAAAGAGCTTGTGCCACGTGAGAAGACCTGGATCAGTTTCGGAGACCAGATTCTGACTAAATAATCTGAACACTACAGAACATTTGTCGTCTCTTTTTTTAATCAAATTCTGATTTCTTGCACCGTGAAATCATCAGACTTAAAACGTTCTCTCCTAGTTTGTTGAATAGGAAGATTGATTCCTATTCTTTTTTGGCTATCCGTGTTGTAGGACAGGAATAATAGCCCTTTTTATTAGGATACAATTTGCTTCTCTCTTTGTCATGTTTAAGATTTTGCATGGTGAACCTGGATTACGAGGGCAGAATTCCATATTATCTAAATTTATTGAGAGTTTTGTAATAGGGATTATTTATAATGAATAAATATTTGTCTGGTCAAGTATGGAGTATGGATTTATTACTCCATTGCCAGAGAATAAAAATAACTTACAAGCCTCACATTTCACATGGTAACACTTAGTCATTTCCTAACCCATTATGTTATAATAATCATACAAGTAAATAACAGGATCTGATTTTATTAGCACTCAGACAAGATCACTTACCATTGTAGCCCAAGAAGGTGATGTAGATATAGTATCCTATGGCGATCAACCACACTGTGTTACCGACAAAACACCCCAGGAACCATTCAGAGTTTATGAAGAAAATGTCTACAAGAAAATTTTAAAAAAATCGGAAATCATGTATTTTATAAAGCTTTTTTTATAAGAAAAACAAATATGCTTATCAAGACCTGACAGTGGGTGCCTGGCGTGGTTAGAGAGCTGACATGGTGAGGAGTCAATAGTCTGGGCCCACACATGCAAGACCAGATCAATCACATCCCAAGTGAAGTGCATATGGGTAATGATGTGATTTCTGAATATACCCCTAAAAAAGAAGCACCCATATTGATTTAACTTCCATCCAATTATGTTAACTATACATTTACAATACATACTTACTATTACATCTGTCTCAGCCTTTTCTTGTGCCAAGAGCCTTTTTTTTTCACTACAGCAATCAAGAAACCAGCCGTCAGGCAGTTTTCCCTTTTGGGGCTTCTTTTTCCTAACAGTGCTTCATTCGCAGCTCTCTTAATGGGTTCAGTCTAGACCAGCAGCCTGCAACGTACGAGTAGCATTTGAACAGCCGGACAGAAGTCACAGGCTTTCCAGGGCGCTTCCAAAGGTGTTTTCATGGGGAGACATGCTTTGTCAACTACTGCTGACAACATTAGTATAAAATCTAAGATCAATGCTATAAGGAGGAAGAAAATAAAGGGATGCTGATTCAGAGGAATCACATAACATGAATGCCATAATATAGACCTATACCATACATAAGCCTTCATGTTTCAAATTCCCAACTGTGATTATCTTTTATTATGTACCCACCCAGTCTGCAAGTGACAATGGTGTATTTAGGTCTGACACAGATCATATAGCTGGCAAGAGAAAGGGACAGGCTCCTCTGACCTGCGGCCCTTAGGGTTATTCATCTTTCAACATGCTACAGCAGGGATCCCCGGTCCTGGTCCTGCAGGTCCAGTGGGTCTACAGGTTTTCAGTCGAGATGGGCTCTTAATGACCCGGATCAGCTCTTTACTGGCTGGACCAGTTCTCCCAGCTGCACCGACACCGTGGTTTAGAAGAACCCGGAAAGCCAGCAGACACACCAGGCCTCCAGAGATCCCTGCACTCGGCTGTTCCGGTTCTGATGCTGCTAAATCCAGAACTACTTACAACGGGGTGCCCAGGGGAGCTTTAACAGGTTGCGCAGAAATGTCCGCCCGGCCCTCCACACTTACGGTTGATGAAGAACAGCTGGAAGAAGTGCAGGATGACCAGCAGGGGGTAGAAAGCGTTGAGGTGGACGTCAAAGGCGTAGCCCCACTCCACGTCGTACTCTCGGCTGGGGTGCTTCATGAGGTACTTGTTTGCGACGACCCTGGGAAACGAAGCCAACAGTGCAAAGGGCCTCCTGAGCCTCCATACTGCAGGGGTTAAGCACACGGCGGCCACAGCTGACACTGCTGTATGTCGAGCACCATTTCTAGTGTCACATAACCAACAGTGAATCCGAGTAGAACAGCATTTCCCAGCCCTGGCCCTGCAGGACACCAGCGCCCCCTGGTGTTAGTTCCAGCCAAGTTCTTAGCTGCAGGCCAATTGATTTCAGTGTTTAATGCCAGGCGGGTTTTCAAATTTGCTTTCAGTTCTTAAAAAAGTTCAACGGGGCTGGTAATTACCCGAAGTGTCTGGTAATTGATATCAAACCTGTGCCAATTTATTAAGTTTTATATCTATCCTCATTTCAGGTGTTTACCTGAAATGGAATCAAATGAGTCTGCAGAAAGCATAAATAAAGTCCTTTTGGGGGAATATCGGATGCACCGTCTTTCCCACCTGGGTTTTTTAGGTTGATTGTCAGGTATTGAGACAGAAGAATAACAGTCTTTGGTAAAAGAAGACTGTTTGACGCTCAGCACACTCAAAAAGGGTGTTTTGCTAACGAGGTCTGAGAACGGAAACATACAAGTCTGAACAAGCAGTAAAATCAATTAAAGGCATTAATTCACAAATTTCAAATGAATAAACAGTGTCTTAAATGAATATTTAGGACTAATTGAAAAGAATAACGGAAAATATATTATTATATACAGTCAGAACATTTGGTAATACTTAAAAGAGTTTTTAGAGGTGATACCAGTGGAGGTTGCTAAAGTAGGTAGCGAGATATCTTACCACATTAACGTGGATATCAGCAGTCCCACACCTATGCAGTCAATGAAGACAACCCACAGGAACAGCTTCAGCATCTCCACAAACCCCATCCCCAGCACGATCGCAAAACCTATGGTTGAGACTGAGAACAGAGAACAAAGTCATCGTTGTTTCCCTCATGGCACTGAATCAAGGAGTGATGGAAATCCTGACAGGAGATACCCCAAATTCTCACAAGGAGCGACGGATATCCTGACAAGGAATATCCCAAAATCCCTAACAAGGAATACCCCAAATCCTGACAAGGAGTTACGGAAATCCTAACAAAGAGATACTCCAAAGCCTTAAGAAGGGATATCCCAAATTCTCACAAGGAGTGATGGATATTCTGACAGGGAATACCCCAAATCCCGAGAAAAAAACCTGACAAGGGGTACCCTGAACCTAAAGAAGATGTGACGGAAATCCTGATGAGGGGTGCCTTGAACCTTGATAGGGCATGATGCTAACTCTACTCCTGAAATCAAGCTGACTGTAAATTTTAGGGATGCCTGATTGCACAAACCCAGCAGACAATATGGCCAGGACACCGATACCAGTGTAACACCCCTATTCGTTCCAACGTGTCCTGGGATCTTCAATGATCACAGTCATCTGGACGACAGCACCTCCTACAGCCCAGTGGCCCCAGTCACCACACTGCAGCCCTGGTTTGGAAACGCTGATCCAGGAGGAAGAGCACCTCCTACTGGTCCACCAGCACCAGTGAGAGCGGGAAGTTGGACGTTCACCCACCCGCGAGGCCAACTCACCGCACAGCCAGATGCTGAGAATCACGAGGAAGGCGGGGTCATCCCTGGCCCACTGGTCCTTGGTCTGCTTCCTGTAGTGGAAGTTGCGGTACACTTTCTGCGGGGACGTGAACAGGTAGAGCATCTGCCAGGTGGCGAATTCGAAGTCCATCTGCCGGAAGCGCAGGAGCCGGCGCAGGTACTTGTGCCGCTTGGCGCCGGCCGTGTGCCGCGCGGCGTCCCGTGGGCTCAGGCTGCCGTTGCCCTGGCTCGGGGGTGGGTACGCGGTGGTGGGCAACATCTCGCTGCGGGAGAGGGGAAAGAGGTCTTGAGCCGCTTCGGCTCCACGGGAGGGAATTGGGGATTGGGTCTTCACTCCCATGGGGCACTGCGACGGTCCTGCTGGAGCGCTCGCTCCCCCGCGGCTCTTTCCGAGCTCCTCGGGCGGATCGGTAGCTCAGCCGGAGCAGCTGAACCCTTGTCAGACCCCAGGGGTCTGCGGCTGTCGTTGATGCAAAGAGACCTCGAAAACAGGCCGGGTTCTGGCGCTCGAGGACTGCGCTGATGCACCCGTGTCTAATACTTAGCCCTCCACGCAAAAAGATTCCACATCACGGACTCGTTGAGCTGGCTGGCGCATCACGGACGGCACAGGCATTCGGAAGCGCCACTGGGAATGATCCGCTGACCAAGGCTCTCCAGACGAGTTGAGAGGCCTTTTGCTAGTGGGCATGCTTCCAGCTGTCCGCCCCCTCTACTGTCGGAGCTCGGGGGGGGGGGGGTTATTCATAACATCAAGGCTTGATTTCTGCTCAACTCTTTTGCTCATGGGCTCCTTCCCTTAGCAATGTGCCCCAAACTCGGCAGCTGCGTATCACTCCTACACTCAAACCTCTATATAAGCCAATATAAGATCTTGTTACCGACTTTTAAGACTTTAAATAACCTGTCTCCATCACACATTTCTGAACGCCTCCAGGTTTACACTCTCTCCTGCAGGCTCTGCGCAGTTGAGGCTGGTCCTTTGCTCATTGTACCAGGACTAAATCTTGAGATTTCTGGATTTAAGGATTGTGCTTCTTCTATCGCTGCTCCTTTGTTGTGGGATGACCTTCCTCGGACTCTACAGGAGACAAATTCTTTGACTCTCTTCAAATCTAAACTTAAAATTCACCTTTTTACCAAGGCCTATGTCTGATTGCCCGACAGTTTGTTCTATACAGTATGCTCTTGTTTTTCTTTGACTTTTTATTGCACTTTGTTTTTTTTTATCACTACGTACAGCATCATTGGGTTTGGAAAGGCATTTTATAAGTAAAAAATTATTTGGAAGTTGGGAATGGGTGATAACACATGATGGGGTGTCCCCTCTGGGAAGAAACCGATTTTCACACCTGCACACAGTACAATATTCTGCTTCAGCACAGCGAACGGAGAGCAAGCAGGACACAAGAGGAGCCATGACATGTCGAGCTCATGAAAGGAAAGGTTGGGCAATGCTGATCTATGAACCAAAACTTGAGCGCTGTACCATTTCAACACAGAAAACAGAGGCTACCCTTGGATCAGGCTCGAATATCAGAAGCCTGATATGACTGATATCATCAAAGCAAGGGACACAGCTTCATGACATCAACAGGTTGGACAATTCTGAAGAACTCAGTGAAGCTACTACAGCACTGAGAGAGAAATACAACAGAGGAAGGAAGAGGTTTTGGGGGACTTGCTGAAGACAGAAATGATACAAGACCGAAGTGTGAAATGCCTCTGGTCTCTGGTCCTCTGGACACCTGAGTCTCGCCACCCCCAGTGGTTCCTTAGGTTTTCTGACACACGGACAATGATTCACTGCTGTGGACTGCTAGGACCAGGACAGTATTTTTCTGCAGTATAAATGGGGCACAAATGTAGATTGTTTAAGACAAAAGCCTCAGCCAAATGCTTAATAATACAGAATGGCAAGGTACGGCCCTGTTTTCAATAGGTGGCAGATTTAGGTTCGGTGACTTTACACTGCAAAGTCAAACACTTTACTTTATGGTAGCCGCAGTTCCGAAAAAGGCATTCGTTAAACAGTGCTGGAACAGAAATGATCAAACTAATTTTCAGCAAGCCGGAGAAGGTAACCTCCCCCTTCATCGGCCACGGGTTGCTCCCTTGTCATCGGACATACCCTTCTGAAACTAAGAGGTGAGATATGAAACCCTGTCAGTCCCGATCCCTTACTCCATGGCGTGTCGGCTAAGTTCCCGGGCACTGTGCCTTCCGTGATGACATGTTGTTATTAACGTCATGTGGTCTCGCTGCCCGGAGGCTGAAGTGTCTCCGCTGTCATTACCTTCCGATTCAACAGAGCAATCCCGTTCCACTCGGGGGACGATGGTTGTGTTGCCTTTCGGAACAACACAACCATCGTTCAAAGCAGAAATAGGCACAAAAAATAAGTAAAGAATTCGTGCATTTCTAGAAAAAAACAACGTTATTATGTGCAATTACGTCAATTCGCCCATATAATGCTTTGTTGCCCGGAAACAATGTTTACAAAAACAACTAAGCAAAACAAAATCAGATATAATCTTGTCCAAATCCAGAGGCTGACCTGCAATCTACATTGCCTATTCCCCTTGATTACAAATAACTACGTTACAGAGTTAGCTAATTAACGCAGCTTTAACTATGTGAGTTAGCTCTAAACAAACCTCTTTTCGAAACGGAACAGGCCGTCCTTAGCATTCACGGGCACAAAGGATGCTCAGAAATTAATACACACCACAATGCAAACGATAACAATAAAATACAGAAACTCGGTATCACTGCTTACCTACAAAACCAGCTAGAACCCCGAACTTCCTAGAACGCTCCAGCCCGAACTCCACAGTCCCAGTTCCTGCACACGTAGTCCAGTGCTTAGCACCTGAGAAAAACGCCTACTGTCATATGCACTCTGGGATTTGAAGTCCACTGACTGACAAAATGTAATGAGCTCTGCCTTTGAAAAAACTACAACTCCCATCGGCAATGCAAGAAAGGTCATGACCGGGTTATTCAATCCCATACGCCCTTGCTTTACGTTGTTTGTGCTGCTTTCGGTACGAACTGTATGTGCGCAAGCAGTCAACTGGTGGGAAGATATAGTTTACCGTTGATTTTCCGGAGAAGTCTGCAGACTAGTTGTAAATAATGCCCAAGTATTACGAGGATAAAGAGGACGACAACAAAGCATGTTCCGGTGTGAGAGAGGACTTCAAGTCATGCCTCCTTCAACATGATTGCGTCCTCAAGGTAGGTCGGACGAGTGTTACGCAGTTGGTGTGTTACAGCCCTTTGGGGAAAAAACACTGCCCGTGAAAAACAAAATATGTTTCAGTGCGGCGTTGGCTAGGGTCCTACTACTTAATTGTCTTTACATTTCTTCAACCTGCTCTACGCGGTTTGATCAGCTGAATCCAGCTGCCTGGTCTGTAGATCAGGGAGTTTGGAACTGTCGGTGAGAACATGAAGAGCTTCCTGTCTCACCTTTACAGTATCAGCCCCCTTTGCCCGCTATGGCAGTCAAGTGTGTAGTTCAGTCACAGACTGGGATTACACAAAATGGGACAAACATCCCATAGGGTTTTATTAAAATATTCTTTGCCAAATAGTGTGTGCAGGGGTGAATCAATGTGTTCCCTTTTAGCAATTAATATAAAGAAGGGGCAGTGACCAGAAATCTTACTACCACAAGTCCCTGCTGAGCCCAGTGAACAGTCCCCTCAGCAAGATGCTCCTGAATTTCACTGTCACAAACCAACCTCAGGACAGCACAGCTAGAACCACATGAACCACCAAACCACTGCCTGACCCACCGTGACACACAGCCAAACACAACACAAACCAAAATGCTACCAGACCCTAAACGGACAACAGATACTAGCTGATTACTGACCAGTGACCAGAGACGGCAAAGAGAAACAACTCTGAAGACGTACAGGCTCAGTCACAACAGCCTGGCCGTAGTTGCAGACAGAGCAGGGAGAACGGGCCGTGATCCCACTGCCAGCAGGGGGAAATGGAGACAGAGGTGCTGGTTTTGCTGCACTTTGGGGAAAACCTCTGGCATTCGACAAACATTCTACCCTAAAATAACAATCCCAGAATTCCCCCACCTGCCAGAATCAGAACCAGTCTCGATCCTGTTGGGAGAGAAAACTCAATGCAGCTGCAGTCCAGTATGTTTAATGTTTAATTTTGCTTTATTAGCCCTCTACAATTTCTTGCATTAGGAATTCGTCTTTTTGCATACCCCAGGTTGCTCTCCATGAGACACACAGACAGGGAGAGAAGCTTGGGGTCAGAGTGCAGGGTCGGCCATTGTACAGCATCCCTGGAGCAGTTGGGGTTAAGGGCCTTGCTCAGGGGCTCAATGGAGTAGGATTCCTCTGCCGGCTGCGGGATTTGAACCTTCCAGTCACAGGCTTAGATCCTTAGCCGCAGAGCCACCGCTCCGCCCATGTGATCTCCTGTCGCCCTCCCAAACTGTCAGATTGAATTTAATTGCTTACCCTCTGCTCTACCAACTCAGAATTTTCTAGAACTTCATACTGTTAACAAATGAACATTTGTTTTGGCTATGATAAATAACTCCTGCATTGTCAGTGTCTGTGAAACAAGGAACTAAATAGAATTGTTTTGAATATTTTTACCACATACAGCTTGTTGTTTTGAATCTCATGTAATTAATTAACGTTTTCATTGTATTAACACACAAATATGTTAGGGTGTTGAATCTAGTTTCCAGTTATGTAAAGAGTTCTTGTTTCTCTTTTTACAGATCTAAATATGGGTTTTATTGTATATTTTGTAGAGTAAATATTTCTTAGAATATTGCCTGCAGTCTTTGTTACATGATCTTCAATCTCAGCTTTTAGCAGCAGGATAAAAAATAAATTCTACAAAATCCGCCAGTTAGAGACAGCATCTAGATCCCGTCTCCTTGTTGCAGGACGGAAAGAGTGCCAGGCAGTGTCTGAAGGAAGGTCACTGCAGAGCTCTTCAAGTGTCCTTCTTCGAATGTAAAAGATCCATGGTAAGTGACTCAGCGCAACAGCTGCTGTTCACCACTAGGGGGCGCTGAAGCCTTCCTAATTTCAGTATCCGTGAATGAACGCTTCACATTATCAACATGTTACACAAGACTGTGTGTTATGTAATTACATAATATTAATAGAAATAGTTCATAATAGTATTCGCGTTTTGTCTAATATTGTGTAATCCGCTCTCAAATCTTGATTTGAAAACATTTTAAAAGATGTGTTGAAAAGGGGTCAGCGACAGCATATTCTCAGTACAGTGTGTACAATGTATTCCAATGCATACATTGTACAGAAAACAGACACGAACTATTAGTAGAGAACTACCATTAAATATGTTGATGTGGAGTACGGTACATGATTTACATTTGACATTTTTAACACGCTCAATAAGGTCTTTCGGTCTTCATTTTTATATATCCATACAGTTCTTCTGAATTCCCTTTGTTTTTCCCCTTCCTTGCCCTTGTTCCTCTCCTGTTTGTAATGCATTATGAAGGGAGCAAAGCACAATCGTCCAGACTGCATTTCTGTTTGATTTAATATTTTTTTGCAGTTTTGGCTGACATGTAACTTCCTTCACCCATGCAAGGCTTAGGTTTGAGCATCTAAGGTTTGGTTAAGAATATGAGTGAAAGAGTGCAGTTAATTGGGTTCAGTAACACGGCTGGGTGGGTGTTCCAAACTCCCACAACCCCTGCCATGTTCACAGCATTCAGGTTCCATTTAGAAATATTCACTTGAAAAGCATGTGCGCCTTGTTGGTTAAGTTTTGGATATCCTTAGAACTAGGTGACTGCTTTTTCAAGGCACTATACATATAACACCTAAAAGATAAACCCCAGTTTACCATGTGTGCCTGCAACATATTGTGCTAATTGTTAATTGGTTAATGGCCGTTTCGGTTTTCCTAGGTGGACGCTCGGTCGAGATTCAGGGGCAGGAAGGGATACTGAAGTGGAGGCTCGGCCATCACGATCTGTCGGGAAAGATGATACAGCAAGACTCATTTCATACATCAGTAAAGCAGTATGTTTGCACAACTGTATCCCTTCATTTTTATAATAACGAAGACAAGCCAAGGAAAATCAAGATGCATTATGGGTGAAGACTAAATGTGTTGAGCATCTCATGTAGTCGACTCCCCTGCGGTTTAGTAAGGAAGAGAACTTCATAGGCACGGTAAAGATCCGGGACTACAGTTTGTTCTTTGAGAACAGGGGGGCAACTTCTTGATGAATGGAACAAGTTACCCAGCCCTGCTGTTGAAACCGATACCCTGGCTTCTTTCAAGGAACAGCTGGATGAGATCCTCACAACAGTTAACGGCTAACCTCCAAATGGACCGACTGTGTCTCCAAGATGGTTCATATCTCTGAATCAGTCCATCCACTTCTACAACTTGGAGACATTGGGTTTAAAATCTAGTTTATTAGCTACATACCTTATCAGCAGAAGGGAAGTATTTGAACATTGATTAGTTTTTCTCCAGGAATGTGGTTGTCTTACTCCAAAGTTTGGGATTTCATTTAAAAATCACTCAATTTCATTTTTCCTA